GGCGGTTTTGGGAATCCCAGCACTTCAGTATTGTCTTGATTCACATTCAGGTTAGATTTTCTAATAATGTTGCAGTTCGTTGCGCGGCTCCGTTGCTCTTTTCATCTAGCTTATGCCTGCGACGAAACATTTTATTTGATATTGTTGCCTTGAATGTGCCTGTCATTATACCGTAGACAACGGGATTCACGCAACTTGCTGCAAACGACAATGTTTGAGAGACCAATTTGGAAGCGACCATTTCCGGTGTGAACGGAAAACTGGCCTCATCAAAGTTCAGCCATGAATTGATGATGTGCGTTGGTAGCCAGCATACACACCACAAGGTAGTTACAAGGACAACCAATTTAGTGGCCTTCGTTCGAGTTCGACGTTTTTTCTCCGCCTTTTGCATTTTTACCAACTCCATCGGGTTCAGCAATGTCGTGTTCTTTGTGACGAAACTGTCTCGATTTGGACCAGAAACGGCTTCCGTCGGTTGGAATGGCTCTAATTCCAGCTGGTGCTCGGATGACGCACGCGATGTAACTGCCTGACCCGGGTCGCCTGAGCTCAATTGAGAGTTTTCTTTCGATTTTGATGCTCGCTTACGGCGAAAGAGGATGTTATTCCGGATAGATAACGATGAATCCGGTTGACGCTTCCTGGCCCTTTCGTGTCGTTCCATCACGTTCTACAATTTGTGTGACAGAATGAATGAGAGAACACAGGAATTTCATTTTTGCGAAAATTTGTCTAAAGGCTGACTTTAAAACGGATTAGTCTGTACAGCTTGGTTTGCAAGTTTGTAGCTACATGTTCGTGCTCACGTCTTTGCATTTTGTTCCCGACAACAGTTATAAATTTTTGCGCAATTTAATTTGAAAAAGTTAAAAGTTCGGGTGTCAGGACAGTACGTCTTACATTTCAACAATCACAGCTCAAAAATTCAAACGAAGGAGGGAGCTGAAATGCCTATATCGGGAAGCCTCCCTCGGATACTAAACGCGGTTGGCGTATAAAAAATAGATTACACATTATCATGTTCTCCCTAAATGCCATGCACAATGTTTAACCTTTATATCGTCAAACTGTCAAGTGCAAAATCTGAATTCATTCAGTTCTCGAGGAACAGTTCAAATTTGAGGGTAACTGTAAACATCTTCCTGCAATGCCAGATTACGGTGATTGAGAAAATCTGAAATCTCTCTGGCGGATTCTGTGCAACCAAGCTCCGTCAACTTAGTGAACAACACTGGGCTGCGGAATACCTCAAAAGTTTTAACAAAATGAAATTGCGGTTCACATGAATCTTTCAAGTTTACTGGTGAAGTACTCTTCTTACCATTAGTTGATTGTTTCTCGGTTGTCTCAGAAGACATTTACGGCTTATGGTGGTTTGTAAAACGGTCGAAGGGTAATAAAGCCGAAGCAAGTATGTAATATCAAATGCATGTTTTGTTTATTTCGTGGTAAAAAGGATTCATTCTTTTAGATGAGGTTGAAGTCCTTGGATTTCGGGAGATATTCCAAATGAAAGCCAGTTATCTTATAAGTCGCCCTGTTACTGGCACATTAACTTTGTTCTTTGTTTTCCTATGAGAGAAATGGAAGATTTGACTTGATTATATAATGAAGTTGTCGTAAAGTTGAGGCTAGGAAGCACTGGACATATATTTCGACTTGAATGGGTCTCATTATTACTATACCATTGGTCCACAGGACTGTAGGAGTAAAACGCGAGGATACTACCGCCTGGGCCGCCGAGGGGTCAGCTGATCAGATCATTTTTGCATTTTCCAAACTGAAATCTGGCCACTGTAGCAAAACGTAAACATAGAACAGAAGATATTTTATTTCAGTGCCGTTGTGGCTCTCATCCTTCCGCACATATTTGTATACGATGAAAGCCCACAGTTTGGCCGCTAGCTATATTTTTGAAAAATGAATTTTCCCGGTAGTTGCTCAAAACAAGAGGGTTAAAATATAGGGAATAATATTGACAAAATATTGAAAATCGGTTCTTGTAGCTCCAGTGAACTGAATTCCGTTTCTTACCACATCGGGACCAAATTATGTTAGGAATTCAATTTCGTCTGTACGCCGCGCGTAGCAATTTGTTTACGAGCCTTTTCTCACCAACCGAGGGGACATCATCAGTGCATGTAAAGTGGTGGTGTTCTATTTGTCCCCTTTTTTTATGTTTTCCACCGACTATTTTTGTCCCGTGTTCTCACTTTGTTCGATTTGGTTCGCCGTTGAACTGGTGCGAGTAGGTGAGAGTGGGAGAGAAGGAGGTTGTTTTTTCGTCCTTATTGCGGTGTCTGTTCGTTCACAGGTCACGGCGTGACCATTTTTGTTACGTCAATTGGTCTGTGAGTTGCACTGACGTGTAGATGTGGTCCAGTTCGATGTACCTGTTTATTGAGTTGATCGCATTGTGCCAAGCCTCCAGAAATTCTCTGGCGTGTTTGACCGGGCTTGGTCGATGATTCTCACTGATTCAAAGAACTGCCCGAAGCACTATATCGGAAAAACTGGGAGAAAGCTGTCAACAAGGCTCCGTGAACACCAATCAGTTGTCAGGAAACATGACCCACTATTGTTCATTTCGCTCCACGAAGATCAAGAAAGACATCAATCTGTCCTCGAACCAGTGAGAATTATCGACCAAGTTTGGTCAGAACACACCAGAGAATTTCTCGAGGCTTCGCACTATGCGATCAACTCAATAAACAGGCACATCAAACTGGACCACATCTGCATGTCAATGCAATTCAGAGACCAAGTGACGTAACAAAAATGGTCACGCTGTGAACGGATAGAAACCGCAATAAGGACGGGAAAATAACCTCCTCTCATCTCTTCGCACCAGTTCAACGGCGAACCGAGTCGATGGAGAACACATAAACAAACGGGTACGAGCAGAAAACTGCGACTTCACAGGCACTGATGATGTCACCTCGGTTGGTGATGAAACGTTTGCAAACAAATTGCAGAGCGCGGCGAACAGGCGAACTGGAAGAATGTTAGTATCATTACCCTAAATATTATTGATATTATTATTACTAGGGCCGACGTGTCCAATGTTATTGAGATAAACTGATATACACGTTACATTTGTTGGTGTAAGTTCCAAAAGCTGATTGTCAGTAATCACACATTTTATTTCACTTGACAAACAACCGAGATCAGTTCAAATGTGTGTTTTGGTGGCAAGAGGTTTGTTTTATGTGGAAGTTGTCAGATTTGTGATACACAAATATACAATACTGGCGAAATAATCAGTCAGAACCGTGGACATATGAGGGTAGCAGAAAAACTAAGAAACATGGGTGATGATGGGGGCATCATCTCGCATTATATAAATATTGCGGTTTACCCTCACTGTGTCTAATCTTAACGATGAGACATGGTCATAATGCAGAATACTGACGAGCGGTGAGCTTTTATAATTATTTATAGTGTTAGTTAATCGTAGTTTCAAGCAATAATGCATTTCTTAAGCACATAAGAACATTGTATTGCTGCATAACTCAAGCCCTGTTGAAGCAGAATAGTTCGTGAATTGTTTGAAGTTATGCTTTATTTTACAGAGACTGAGAAAAACGGAAATTCTTTCTACGAAGTTAGCAGAAAAGTTAAACAGACATTATGGTGAAATCTCAGTTGACTGGGTGCAGTATGAAATGCTGTCGAATTCCAGTTTCCGCTTAAACAAGAGAGAAAGTGGAGAAAATCTATCTGTTCTGTCTTTGACCAGTATAGGTCACTCGTGCATCGTTGATTGTGGTGTTCGGGTATTCTGAAAACATACACCCGAAGCAAGTAATGCATTTTCAGCCACATTCTATGTTTTATAACGTTCGTTTCTTGTTTGGTTAACTTATAACAAGCAACTGATGCTGCTACCACTGCATGTTTCTGAAATGAGCACCGTTTTATCACAGTAATCTGTAAAAACGTCGGAACGTTTGGTTGAGATGCACATACCACACACTTATAAACACGCAACTTGTTGGCAGATGCAAAAACTGCGTCGATTGGGAACTTGAAGCTATGATAAAGGAGACTGTTTGTCATGAGAATAACGTAACACACTTTTTTCTCTTCAGTTAGGATGGGGGTGCGGTATGTCTCATCACTCCAAAGGATGAGAAGAATGTAAACCAAACGAAAAACACAAATATGTCTATCCACAGAATTGGTTAAGAAACACGCATAGGAAATTATCTTTTACTAATCTCACAGGCGGAGAGTGACGTTTGTCATCTTGTCCATTTTTGTTGTTGTCTATCAACTTTTGTCTGACAATAGATTTTCGTCAAAAACTGACTTATTCCTGTTGTCTAAAGACTTCATACGAGAACACAAGACAGACAATGATTCCCCAATAATGGTCCAAAGGATGTCAGACTATATAAAATGAAACGGAGATATTTTGGTCATTCATTGATGTTCTTTTCTATTGCGTTTGACTTAGTTTACCCTTGACTGTTACCGATGTTAAGATGTGCCGCAAACGGATGAAACATATCCCGTGATTCGCATGATCACTCGTACAGGTCAAACTGGGGCGCATTGGCATCGACCGTAGGACAAAGCTCATTTGAGATTGGTTGACTTAGTCCCTCTCTATCACACACAAATAAAGACAGAATCGTTCGCATTTCCCCATGTAGATACATGTTCTCTAAGTGCGCCCATTTCTGTGTTCTGATTTCTGTACTTATTGCAAGAATATCAATTTAACTTGAACCATATGGGATGTGCATTTCTGACTCTGAACCTTATTGTTTGAGCGTGTTCAGTTAGAATGCCTCGGTCATGAGGACCCGTAACCGATTTTGATTAGCCTTGATTAAAAGAGAATCGATTAACTCGAAACACGATTGTGAACCCTAGTTTCATAAATGAATCCAGAAGAAAATGTTTGCGAAATGGTTCGACTGCGTTGGTTCAATTGGCAGCTTATCAGAAAAGATGAATTTGAAAATACTGTTCAGTAGTTGCAGGTTGCCAATTAATCGGTGGTTAACTCCCCACATCTCCAAAAGGAGGTATTAGAAAATAAAGACAATTATTAAATGCAAGTTTGGAAGAATCGCTGTAGGAAGCCCATCAAAATCGAAATGGTGCACCATGTACAGATCTACTTCTCGTGTGCTCTGCAGTGTAATCTAAAAATTATTGTTTTAGCACTGACCTAGTACTAGGCACCAAGAATAATAAAATTGTTTAAAACAACAGCAATTTAAAAGGAAAAGCAGTACATCATGGTTGCAAATCACAGAACTTAACAAAGCTAAATTCTAGCTTGTGCGACCCCGTTTACATTCTTTTGGATTTTGACATGGAAGTATGTGAACTCCTATATCCATGACGTCTTCAATCTAAGAGACAATATTTTCATTATACTAACCTGCAATTTTCCGGATGCATTAGGTCAAACATATGTCATGGCAACATGCAAACTTAACCTAACCTGCCGGCAGTAAATGCTTTATTCTAGTCACCTTCTGTCTTTGCTTGTATCAAACTCAACTACAGAAATTTTTCCCTAAAAATCCTATTCTATGCTCCCAGCTTTCCAAACTCGGATATTCAACTTACCCTTTGTTGTAATTTGTAGATAATAGTTGAGTTCATGATCAGGATGGCCACGAATGGGATTACATAAGTGGACAACAGAACGAGAAGCTGATAGCCCATTCGGCTTGATTGGCTTGGAAATAACCCACGGCAGAGTACGACCGATTCTTGAACTGTGGTCATGGTTCGGAATTCCATTGTCTCATTGGATACAGCTTCGGTCACATCCAGGCATGTTGTGGTCATATTTTTGCCCGGGGCACTGTGTCGATAACGAGTGACCTCACGCGAGGGCATGAGAACTTGAAAGACCAGGACGGGAGACGCGAAAATGACACCGGCTGCAAGAGAACGGTCAATGCAGATTGATTGGTGTTCGAGTGGGTAATAGTTTAAACTAGATAAGGAATAGCATCTGATAGTTCAATCACAGTTTGATCGCTCGTTACATTTACAATCTTGGTTCATATGTTTTTCGCAAAGTACATACACAAGGGTATGCGAGCTTTATTTTCACGTAACTCACTTTACCCAATCTATTTTATTCGATTGTTTTGAGTGGATACATATACAATTATACTAACAGGTGGGTTTATGTTCAAATCCACAAACGATGGGGCAAGATGACTTAGTTCATTATTACCGGTCACCTGGTGAATGGAAATTAGTACTATATATTATTGTGTAACATCTATTCCCAAAATCTATAGCAAACCGGTTTTTGGCAGTAAGTTATTGGTAGAACTCAGGCTTGAACGATGAGGATATCACCTCCAAACATTTAGAACAGCGGAATTAAAATACAGTTAGTTTAATTAGATTAAATAATTGAAAAACATAGTTCAGTTCTTCCCAAATTATGCTTGCTTCTTAAGGTCCTTAGTTTACATCGCTTTTTCAGTACCTCATCTGCATGTCAAACAAAATGTGAATGGTCTGACTGTTTCCCCTCATTTGTGTACTCCTCATCGCTTGTGATTGCCGGGTTGCGTCATTTGAATGGCACCCGTTCACCATTCACCGACTCAACTACTCCACCGTATTTTATTACATTACAACAACTTTGCAAACTCCCACAGACATAAAAATCAAAACGACCGCTGACCGCCTGTCACAAAGAAAAGCAATATAACTTGATGAACCATATATAAGAACCGGGTAAAAACAATGTTTTTGCACCAGGACTTTTGCACTCAATTCACAGATTGTTGCGTACCCAGGAGAGCACGGGTTAAGTACGGGACTGAGGAGGTTCTAGGCAGGGATTATATGAAAACGAGCTCAGGTACTTGAGTGCGGGTGGCAATCGGAAGAGTTGGTGAAAAGAACCTCGTGTGTATGTGTGTGGTCTCTGAGAATTTTAACAGTAAATTTCTTGCATGCATCAATATAAGAGGATCACATGGTTCATTAACTATCATTTCGTGCTTTACGGCAAAAAGCTAACACCAATAGTTGCTGATGCTCCTTTTTAGCACACCAACAAAAATGACGGAGAAAAGATTTCAAATGATGAGGGAAGAAGCATACATCAAAACTGGGAACTATAGGAGAAGGATAGAGGATTTAATTTGATTGGATGATGAATTTGTCCTGTAAATGAGGCATGATCTGAAAAGCTTGGAAGCACAGGTCAGCTGTTTCGACCTGGCTGGGTCTCATCAGCCGTATGAATCTATTAACCCAACTTGGGATCAAACCCGGGAACTGACAGATAGAACGCAAGCATGCTATCCACTTGGACATCGGACAGCTAATCAGACTGTTCCCAAGCTTTTAGCTCACGCCTCATTTACACAAAGAATTCATCATATAAAATGGAAATTGGTAAACAACATATAAATATCGAAATTACCGAGTTTGAAGAGAGACAGAAAACTTACGCAAGGTACTAACACACGGGAAGTTCTCAACCACAACAGGGGAATAATTCGCAGATTACGAGCAGGTTAGAAAACGAGAATTCAACAAAATTGGTTAATATTGATTGTTAAAACCCGGATAACGGGTACTATATTTGGAGGGATTTGAGCGAATTTATGAGGCGGACCATTGACACGTTAGCTTGAAACGAAATTACACTGTTACTTTATACTCGGAAGTTAAAAATGTTTAGTAATATGTCAATTAAAGTATGAGGAAACCTCTTATTTGCAGAACTAACGAGTCATCGACTAAGAGTTTAGAAAACCTTTTGGCGACACTAATGCATTCCTCACGTCGTCCACACAAACGCAGATTCTTTAAAACCAAAACGTTTCAAGTTTGTGAAAGAACAGAGGTTTGATGAGGGAATGAAGTTTAAGACTAGAGACTAACATCTGCAAAACTAACATCCCACATAGTTTGGCACAGCTATTTGGAAATTTGTTTTATACGATGAATCAAACTTGGCGCTGCGTCTAGGGCAAAGTTGTTTTCAGTTTCAAACAAATTAGAAAGGATCTTGTTGGAAATTATTGAAGGACAGAAAAAGAGAGAAAATAGAGCCTCTAATGAGATTGAAAACAGTCGTAGACCGTTGAAATACAAGGGTCGAAACCAAGGAGGGAGATTTTTTCAATAATCGTGTCTTCCCCCAATTCAAGGGATAAGCACCGCGTTTTTGGAAAAAGGCAGCACAGGGTAACGTATCGCAATGCGCCTAATAATAATACCTTCAAAATTGTTACACCAAACGGTTTATTGGCAAATGTTTATCTTATTCTCGATTTTGCTAGACCCACTCTATCTGACTTAATCAATGCGCTGTCATAATCTGCTGAAAGATACATGTCAGATATGAATTCAATGCAGTGCTTTGATAGATGGATTACCAGTAACAATCGGCTGTTTGATGTGAAAACCAGAAGCAATAATACGTCAGGATCCTTTAAAAGACAATTGATATACAACGAAAAGTTGCGGAACAATTTTGAGCGGCTTCGCTTGAACGAATTTATGAGTTTCCGTATTTCAGCGAACGTTCACTCCAGTGAACGTTGTTATAATGAAATAAAATTGGATTGAGTTAAAAATATTCACGTTTTATAACTTAGCAACTAGCTCGAAACAATCCTAGTTGATTAAGTGGCTTGCGTGATTCAGTCACCTTTTGATTAGAACATCTAACTGCTATCTTTTAATAGAAAACCATTACAATTCAATGCACGTGTTTCCATTAAACGAAAACACAAACTTGCTGCTCATTTTTATGTAAGAGGTTATGTGGATTTTTGAATTGAAAATAAATACTAATTCGAGTCACGATAGGGGTAGTAAAAACGGTGCAATCATTTTGATAGCGCTTTTATTCATTAATTGAGATCATTTAGTACAACCTCCACTGATGATTACACATTTAAAGGAAAAACTAAGTTTCACCTTATTTTTGACGGAACTCACACCGTTTGGAATTCATGGTAAATTTTAGAATATACGTGATGCAGATTATGTCAAACTCAAATAAGGAGATTAAACTGGCGGCATAGATTAAAAATGTGCGTTCTCCAAACTGCGGCGATATCCACTATTTACCTTCAAACCATTTTGTCTTGATGTGTGATCATATCTGATTGTTGTGGTGGCGCAGTGGTTTAATCGCTTTCACCGAAATGTCCTACGGTCCCACGGTCCGAGGTTCAAGCCAGGCAAATACCACCCAACTTCCTTGATAGGTATCTTTTCCGTCGTCCGGATCAATACCACACCTAAACTAGCGGGGCCTTATGTGCTTCACCAACCAAGTCCCAGGACTTGTTATACTGGTTCCTACCACTGAAAAAAAGGTTCCCGTCTGCTGTTCCATCACACCAATGTGTGTAATAAAAAATTGAGCACGGGATCGTGACTCTCTCTCTCTCTGTCTCTCTCGGTTAGAGCTTATCACTTATTAGTGCTATGTTTATCTTTCACCTACAAGATCAAGATATATTATATGTAACCATGTGCTGAAGATGTTAGTTATCCGTATAGGTGAAGGTAAACGTATGGGGTTCTCAAGTAGAAGTTACCCCTATTAATCCAATCAGGAACAAAATTAATACAAACTGATGATGGAGAATAATAAATACGAATCCGAATTTGTCGACGTTGTCGATGGTTATATCCAATTCCACCGAAGACAAATTTGATAACGACCTAGGCATAAACAGTCTAAATTGGTTCAAACTGTTGTGTCTATTTACTTACACCAAACGTAACATCACGCACTTGTCCCATTCTGGCAATCCATTTCAAATTTTCTAGCAACAACAAAATTGTATTCCGTAAAGCTGCCAATGTAAATAACTCTTATCGCCATGGTGTTTATCCCTTGTGTGGTGAAAATCCTCGTTATGCAAATACAGCTCCTTTTGGCAATCATCAGCTTATGCGATAGGGACCGAGAAGTGAAGTTCAGCACGCAAACAAGCTGCGTTACACTCCATTTATTTTTTAGTTGTTCGTCGCGGTGGCAGTGTTCATAGGTTTAATTCACCAAGTGTTTGTATTCCCGGACTGCATCAGGTGGTGCGAATAAGGGATTAACGAGTATCACACGCAACTGAGTATTTCTGCAGAAAAACATTGCTCAAAATGATAAACCAAGAACGTTTCGACCAGGCGACCGGTTTGTACCATAACAACTTTTAACTCCCTGGTCCCCTGCTTTCACTGGTTCCCGGTACTGGTTTCCGGTTGCAACATTTTCGAATCCATTCAACTGAAAATCGTTATATTCTGTTTTCTTGTTCGTACCGAGATACTGGACACGGGTTTGCATGTTCCACTCAAATGTGCACAAAACTTCCTAATGTGATGTCAAATTATAGCTGGTCATTTCATTGTCCACGTATAAGTGATACAGCTTTACTTTACCACTTTCTGTCTTATACTTTAAGCAAATTTTCAAATAACTCACTTTCTCCAATCACTACAATATAGATAACTGTTATTGATCGTGAAGAACCGGTGATATTGAATTATAAATGAAAATTTAAAAGAAATAACTCCCAATAAATTCTGATAGTCCGGAGTAACAAACATGCCGTTAAGTGCTCATAGTTAATGCCTCAACAAATTAAGTGTATTACCACTTTCAATCCCGGTTGATACAATGTGACAGAAGAGCCTGATTCGCAGTAATATGGAATAAAGCAGATTTGGCTAAGACAAACGCTCCTTAACTCACTTACAAATGGTATATATAAACTTGTTGCACTGTCCACATCATGCGGTGTTGACATTTTTGGGGAGTGAAATTTGACTTGATTGATTGCTTTCCTCCACTGTTTCATTTTTTATAATTGGTTTATGATCAAGGAGTGGTTGTTCGAACTTCACTATTTAAGACATTGATGTAAACAACATATAATTCCGGATTTCAGCGGGAGTTGAAAATAACCATAAATTTGAAGAGGATTCGGGATTCGCTCTTGTTTTTTGCCCAAAACTAGTTTCACTGGAGCATGCGCTCGTTAGTTGTCACTTACCGATCCAAGCTCCAAGACAAAATAGCTTGGCTTGCAGTTCTGTCATTTTCAGGTTCTGCCACGGCAAAACGACCGAGAGAAAGCGGCTTGTTGTCAGGCCCAACAGCATGAACGCTGAAGAGAATACGGTCACCTGGGGAGCAACAACAAAAGGAGATGGTAAATCATTGTAAATCGACACTGTCACAAAGAAGCGAGACATTCTAGATTTTTTTCTCGCCAAGCTCATTATTACGTCGGTTAGAGATGTTCAGGGAAATATTCAGTCTGTTATGTTCTGTGAGAGTTTTTACGTTTCGAACCGGTGTGGAAAACAGTCATTTAAAAAAGTGAATGAAAACTTCTAGAACGCAGATTTTAAGAACAAACTCAGTAGTTTGCATATCGGTCTCCACATTTCGTGGGAAACGTAAGACAATTATATGGTGTCATTTAACACACGAATGATATTTCTATATTATCTATCCTCTAACAAAACTGAATAGATCGACAGCTGCGGCCGACCAGAACATGGTCTAGGCAGATATCTCTTGGGGGAAGACAGGCAGACGGTGGGATCGCAAACTTAATGGATCATCGATACAACCCTGTTTGTACTTGAGAAAGTGAACTATGGTCTTGGTAAGGAATTCAAAATTACTTGTCCAGTGATTAAATAAAACTCTATTCTAGAGCACCTGCTGAACGGCTTGAAGATGGTACAGGCAATGCTGAGAGTTTTGAGTATTTTTTAGTTCAGTCTGTACAAAGATCGCAAAATCGAATCGATTATTTTTCTCAAATAAACCAATCAGATAAAAATGTAAACCTTCACATTTGGTGTTTATTAGTACATAAACACACTAAAATCTCACGGCCATCGATTCCTCGCTCTTATTCCAATGGAACATGCTAACAAACACATCTTTTGAAGTTGTTTTCTTGTACTGCTCAAAGGGTTCTTTTCCCATCTATTTGCCCTGATGCCATCTCATTTAGACCGGACAGCCTCTGAACAGGGATTGTTTTATCTTTCAACATATAGGTTAATAATTGTCGGTCATCGGAAATTGGGATCTAAAGATCATATGTGTAATTGCAACCTGACCGATGTCGTTCGGCACGTCAAATGAGGTTAACGACACAGTTTGATTAACGCACATCACCTCCCAATTACCTTGAGCTTTTTGTAGCAATACGGTGATTTCCAGTCTCACCATCGCGCTCCTTTCTAGTGTCCAGTGAATAAGTTGACGCAGCGTTTATACACATGTGCAAAGAGTTGTGGGACACGTGCGATCATGTGACATTTTGGAAATAGCAAAACAGTTTCACGCTCGGAAAACACGTGGTTTTAGAGACTAAAATAGTATATTTTCTGTGAGAAGAAAATATCTGAAAAGCGGATTCAGCTAAACAGGCTTATATGTTCTCAAAATTTCCTGTGGAATTAAGTCATTATTAGAAAGTTCAAATCATTATAAAGGGCATCCTCTCCGGTTCGGGAAACACATGATTTTCAAATTTAGGTAATAACATGCATGTTTGTGCAAATTCTCGGGGATTCATAAACACAAATAATTCTCATATGCCAATACGGTTTTATTACTTATGAAAACATGAGTAGATGTCCGCTACGGTCTGCCGTCAAACGTTAGAAAAAGGTTACTTGAAAGCAAGTTTGTCTCTGTTTTGTCCAGTTGAATTCATAATTCTTAGTTTTTTAAGGTAACATTTTAGAACATTTTATGCACCCCAAAAGCATGTCAAATTGTGTCCATAAACGAATGTTTGCCTGAATGAACTATTCTCTCCGGTCGACGTTCTAACTATTTACACCAATGTCTATCCTGAATGATTGAATGAATGTTGTTCTGGTGAGTTATGACATAAGAAACGCACATTGGTTTGCAACAGTCGTCTATCTGTCTTTGTTATGTATTATTACGTTCGAACCCTTTTCATGATGTTTTGCCAACCGACGTTCGAACCGCAGCATTGCTGAACCAGGGGGTTGAAAGCCTAAAAGGCAGATTTAGGAAAGTAATCCTTGGAATCAATATCATCATTCAAACAATCCCGCTCTTTAAAATCAATCGACTTTATTTATTTTTGACCTGACCCCCATGATTTTATTGTGCAATGCAAGCGCTATATTCTTTGTTGAAAATGAATGGCCTACTATTCTGTTTACATAACCATCGTGTAAACGATTGAAACCTCAGTTAATTTTGGACTCATACATTTGCGACTTTAGAAATATCATTTGTTATTCAGTCAGATATTTGTTGGTTTCCAATGGCTTCCCGTAAGGCAGTTTGGAACTGGAAGGTTATGTCGGTACCTCGTGAATGATGAGTTGTTCAACAACAACAACAACAACAACAAAACCCGCTTATCCAGCTACACAATAAGATGAAAAATCCTGAATGTTTGTGTGAAATGAAACAGTGACTCTCAGATTGCACATTTCGGAAGGCGCTGACAGAACTACGACCGGTTGCTAACATTTGCCATTAGAAGGATTTCATACAGCTTCTTTATGTAACATACTATGTCGTAACATTGATGAAAAATTACATCCGTTTGAGTAATTTCTTCGTTTCATTTGTGAACTTCGATTATCCGTTTCAAAACTAATAACATACCATAACCCGTTTAGTTCATAAAGGGTAAAAAATGATTTTGAATGCAAAACATACGATTCATGGTAGCAAACCTAGGTCTACTTTAGTGCCCCGTATTATGTATGGCACATATTGTCTTACTTTGGAACCAGTAAAATACAACTCATCTGGCAACGGGTTGAAAAACGTTTCCGAAATCGCAATGCCCTGTCACCATGTATCCTGAGAGGAGAACAGTTCGAACAAAAACAAAAGCACGCAAAAATGTTTGCTAAAAGCCTATTTAAATTATAAATTACATCGTGAAGAATGTGTTTCCTGGATAAATTTATATCCTAGTTTGATACACAATGATTTCTTCCATGAAAAATTAATTGCTCTCGATTATGGACACAAAATTAATAATTATCAGACTACCTAGTTTGGAATCACAAACATAGTGCTCGTTTAAAATGCGTTACCAAACTCATTTGGAATACAGCTGATCAGCTTTTCATTCGTTGTCAATTTGATTTACCCGATCTCACCTAGCGTTTACCGGAAATGAAACAGTTTGGCCTTTTAAACGCTCGTGTTCCTACAAAACGTGACCATGACGGGATTTAGAAGTATTCAAAGTGTCCCCAGGAAACACCTTTATTCCGTGTACATGAGTTACCGCTCAGTGGCATACCGTTATGCTTCATTTCGCTCTAAGGTTTACTTTTTTCACAATATCGTTCACTGCTACCAAATTCCAAATAGTAATGGATTTTCAAGGCGGACATGTTTCTTCTCGTGTGTCGTACTCAAAATCTATGCTGTAATTACGTTTGCTCCACAGCGTAACTTAAAATTGTCCAACCCCTCTTCAAATGACCAGAACGAAACCTGCTGAGAGGACTTTTGTAGCAGCCGGCCCCCTAGTGGACACTGACAGTGACCAGGGTACACCAGTTACGAGTTTCTTTACTGGATTCCAAGTAGCATGTCAAAGGATTACGTAAACAAAATCTCAAAAACAGGAAATCCCTAAGAAATATTGTGCTAACATGGAGTTTTGCTAGCAAGGGGACCTGACTGTACAGTTTGTAGTACCATGGAGATAAACGCATATTCCTTAACTCCATGCAAACAGGTCTGCTATTATTGTGACTCTCTTTGTTATCGGCGTTTGTTCACAACCACACGTTTGTTCAGTTCATCATCTACTCTAAGTTCTTCCTTATAGTCAGCAGTTTACACGCGATATGATCTTATGACGTTTTGTCCACTTTGCACAGCTAATTTCGCTTAACGCGCCGAAGTTGGCAGTTTGTTGATCTTATTAATACGTGATCTACATGAATAAATTTCTGAAGCGATATTTCGAAATTGGGGGCCTAAATCCGAAATCGCTTCGATGACATCCATCTATCCTCATCGTTCACGTGAGTACCAGTCGTCAGCTGTCTTTTGTATCCGCTAATTGGACATTCAATCACACAGGAGATCTGATCACGGACACATTATCACGATCTGGATATCAAGCCGTGCGATTTCCCTCGACGAGATTATTGATAACAACGTGATAATTGCCTTCACTACAAAAGTGGTGAATCAGTAAGCCGCATTGCAGTATGTGTTCAATATTGATCTGCATATATTAGTTATCCTTCTATGAAGTGTACATAAAATTCACCAAATCTCAAAGTGGATGAGAACAATAAAGTACTGTTCCAACCCGTTATTTTCAGACGGTGTTTTTAGCCTAAAATTGGAATCAAAATGAGGACGTGATAAATTGTTCTCAATGACTTGCTTCAACTGGTTAAAAAAAAACAATGAATATCAAATAAAGTGCGAACCTTTTACGGACTTTAGGGTCATCCTTCAGCTGTTGAAAAATTGTTCCTCGATGGTTTCCAAAGACGACGACATATGTGAGGACATATTTATCAAATATTGTATTAATTATTTATTTATAGAGACAAAATAGAAGTTATTTGAATTTTCAGTGCAACTATGAGGTAGTTTGTTCACGTTGACTGAATAATTGTCCTCTATAAACCAATACATCCAGAGGATTAAGCAGGCCAAATCTGGGATATCAGTCGCATTTACAGTCTTTAATTTGTTTCAAATTTGAAAATGTTTTCAATCAGGTTCAATGTAGGGTAACTTTTCCCCAACAACTTTTCATCTCAGAACTACTGAATTAGACTATTTTTCTGCTAGGAGCAAAACTACAGACAGCGAATTTTGAGGACATTTTTAACCGGGCCAACATTACCTGAACGACAAAGTTGAACACCTTGCACCAAAACAGGCCGAATATCCATCCCCGAAAATAATATTGCACAATGGTGATTGGTGTGGTGAATGTGAGATAGGTCAAATCGGTCACGGCTAGTCCGACGCAAAATGTTTCATACACCAGTCTCGTATGGCTCCCTATGAGCACACATATGACCAGTAGATTACCCAGTACTCCGACAATGGCAATCGCGATACACACACATGAGGTCACCAGCACGGATGTTCGTGGTTTTGCACTGATCGGTGCGACCGCAATCAGGCTGGAATTGATAGTTTCCGTTGGTTTGCCTTGGTGACTTGCGGGCAATGAAGTGCTAGGATTGCTATCGCCCAACACCTGCATGCACAGTTCAATCAAAATTTGTAATATGATTGATTTTATGAACACACGAGTCCACCGATGATACTCACAATTGGACATGTTTGACGGTTTATAGTTTTGGTAAAGATGATTCGTCCTTCATAGTTCCATTTGAAGTGATCTTTTCCCATGAAACAAAGCACAATCAAACGTTACTGTCACACATATTCAGTTTTATTTGGAATTCAGTATTCAACGGAGGAAGACTCGATCTGATTGGCTAACGATCTGACCAATCACAATTGTCCTTTCTGGGATTAACATTTCATACTGAACTATGACTATTGAAAAAGGCAGGTGATGTTTTGGGTACGCGTAGAAATAAATTCAATCGCAAATATTTTTATAATAGCAACAATTATCTACCTTTGCTCTTCAAAGAACTACGTAAAGCTATCTCGTGTTTCGTACCATAAATAAATGAATTCAGATTCCGGTTGGAAAACGTAAACGTGAAAATGAGACTGGAAAGAATTGGGCTTTTGAAGTATAACAATTGTTTCATCAGTTCGGGTATCACTGTCACTGTTTAATGCTCACCATTTTCATTAAATTCACACTAGTAACATGTTAATCATTGAACGGCTAAAGCCTTCCATATAAATCACAGTAATTCAAAATGTTTTATTCAGGAAAATGAAATCGATATCTGGCAATTCAGATGATTATAAAATACCTTTAGAAGAACCTCTAACCGTTTCTAAAACTAGATTTGGATTTGGTTTGCAGTTATCGTCGTCCGATTCCATAACTGACATTGATTACGCAATATCAAGCGCTCAGAAATCCGTTGGTCATCTACCACCAGTGACCCCATTTCTTCATCCGCCTACCAAAAACTCGCACCATGTCTCTTCTTCTCGTGATCTGTCCTTGGCCTAAATGTGATTGCTGTGATTGTTTTTCAATCATTCCAGTGCACTGTCGCAATTTGTTCTGATTGCTTCTTTGGTCTTCTGATGCGATACACTGACTTGTGTTCACATGCACATACGGGTACAACTGTTCACCCATTGACACGTTTGAATTGCAACTGTAGGACTTCGGTATTTGGTCTGCATACCGTATAAGGTTTCTATCGCCGAGATCCACATCATTGTTCTCTGTTGTTTTGAGGCAGTTTAAACGTCTGGAACTTTCATAATTTACTGATAAGCTCGCTATAAGGGATTATACTACATATATATTATATATTCATTTAAGTTGTCATCAATGCAAGCTAAACCACTTAGGTTCGTAGTTGATGTTGACTACCATTGATGTAACATCTCATCAGGCCGTATAGAAAGCATTACACAGAGATGACTAGACAGAGAAACGTCTATGTTTCGAATGTGCTATTTATTTGCCCCGGTGGACGTGTGAATGAATTAGTTACTTTAGGTTACTAGATGAGATGAACTACTAAACTAGACAGTCAATCTTTGCAACGAGCTGAAAAGTGGACGTCATTACACTAAAGTAGACGTAACGAGAAAGAGTAGGATTGCACCAAGCAGGTAGCATTCACTGGTAGTATTTACTTATAAAATGGTTCGAGGGTTGCTGTCTTTCACGAGTACGGGAACGACTTATCAGGGATGTGACCTACTTGCATCCTGAACAAAATAACTGTAAACTTATTAGACCTTGTAGGACAAACCTTTTGAAATGTGTAAACGAGATGGTAAAAGTTGAAGATCGAGTACGATCGGAGAAGGTCACGTAGAATTGGGGTCGCCATATTTTCGAGTGCAAACGAGGTACATATAACAGTGGAGCAAAGACAGCTAATAACATAAAATTTTGTCCATCGAAGAAGTTAACGTGAGTAAAAGTGCACCCAATAAATGGTATCTTCACGTCCATGAATGATGTTCAGTTATCGAAAGAATCGATGCATATAACATGTTTCTATTACCTACACTTGTGTGATGATCAAGGCCCGAGATGAAGGCCATTGGTTTGAAGACCTGGAAACCGGTAACCTAAGCCCGTGAACACGGAGTGACGGATCACATATGATCTCACTAAGTAGGGCTTATTTTTAAATCGATTGAAAAAGAAGCTTCCCACTAACAAAGTTTAGTGGTGTTTGGGGGTACGAACCTCAGGCCTTAGGGTTAAAAACACATCAACGCCGGTGCCCAACCCAGCACTTGGATTTATTAAAGTGCTCGAAGTGCTCTTAGAAGTAATACAACAAAATACCGCCGTATCCAACCTCTTTCTTATATTTGAAACTTAGAGGCTCAGGACAAGAAAAACCGGTGAAAGCATGTTTCGTCGTCTATTCGGTTCCGATCCCAAGACCAACAACCTAATTCAGATAAGGTTGTGAATTTCACTAAGAAAGTTATTTTAAAAACTTTATTTGTTTCCCGGGTCAAATGATAATTATTGTAATTTGCTAACCTTGAAAGGTCTTGAAAGTTCTATTGGAATAGGCACGCCAGTATAAACAAAACCTTACGTTATTCATATTAATACAGTTGGAAGTTGAAATCTCATTATCCTGTGGGTAAAGTCAATGGTGTAAACGATCGGATGATCACTCTGGGTAGCTTTAACCCGACAGAATTCAAACTGACATATTGAACCTAGTTTTGTGCAATATATATTTATCTATTGGAACAAACAATAGCGTTCTTACTGGACCCTGGTTATGCATCACGACTGTGAGATCCGGTCTGTCAATAAGTACTTGAAATATAACCCGGGGTTGTAATTCAGCATGGGGACACCTTAGACCGTTAAAACTATTTGCAAATCTGAATTTTTCATTCCATAATATGCTGTGCTTCCCGTAGATGGTAATTTTTGTATTTAGTTAATTAGCTGTGGATCAACTTTTTGAAGTAGTACTGCAAGAGCACTTGAATTGATAGCAGATTACTGGTGAGAAGAACCAGGACAATTCAATTGTTCTCCTCAAGTGTCACCCTTCTGGATGTCGAAAAAATACTGAGTCTCGAAAGCACTCCACGTTAAATCTAATTCAATATGAAGAACTTCCCTATTGTCCATTTTGCTGTTTCTTGTTTGATGAAAGTACAAGAAAAAAAATAATGGGTTTCAACCAATGCCGCTGCAGTATGAATGGGTAATATTTCGGGGTTAAATTTTATCAAATAACGGGTCGGTCACGCGTTCACCGTCTTTCTCGATTGCTACTTCGATGAAAAATGTAATCTTGGAAAATGTAATTAACGAACCAAAGTGCCTTTGCACATTGTGCCGGATTGACCTCCAGTGACAGAGTACGGCGCTGAAAAACGATCCCCTAAGTGCAACTAAACAGTACAGACGTTCGGTAATCTGCGTGTACTAAGATAACTATCTATCTATCTGTCTATCCACAATAGCCCCCGGAGAAATCACTCTAATATATAAGCATAGAGAGGTGCATTTTACCGATAAAAATGCCCAGCTAGATGGACGAGGGAGCGGGGTACCTGGTGCTTACACCCGACAGTGGAAGAAGTTGTCTGCTTCATTGAAAATCTGCCGTCCCCCAAAGCTGGGCAGCCTTCGACCAATAAGGTAGTGTCCCACCTACGTTCATTGATTGTATGAGACTATGAGCCCACAATCGACACTCCGTCGAACAATACTCTGAAACGAATCCCGAAGGTCATGTTTGACTTTTCTGGAGAAGTTCCCAGGAGAGTGTTTCGGTCACGCTGTCGTGTTAGGTCCAAGCCCCACAGCCTTGAAGTCAGACTTTCGAGTCAAACGCTCTGGTTAGATTTCCCAAAGAAAACACCCTTCGTCGGAATAGACTACGGCGAACTATGTCGTGCCCTTAAGGTCTTAGGTAACCATTTGGAAAACGCTCTTTCATAATTGTCTACTTCTTCCTCCCACTCCCGAATTAACTCAGACATCTCATATTTATGCAAACCATCGAATATCATTCCTAAAGCTCTTTGTAAACAGAAAAACATTGGTCCACGTCAGCTAGCTGAAGAACAAAAGGTCCAGAGTTGCCTATTTAATCAGGCTAAAATAATCACTTTTTGAACGGGACAACATTAGATGTGAACAGATTACTGACAACACAAGCCAGACGTTGGTCGGGTATAGAGCTGATCCTTGTTCTTTTGTTTTTACTCCCGTTTATTGAATATAAAATGATACCTTTTTCAGGTGTGCTAGGATCATTCAAGAGGGTGCGGCACAACACAGACATTGGGGAAAATCAGCTCCTCCAAGGTGGTTAGTTGATGAGCTATACTGCTTTAAACTCATACTCTTGCTATAACATCATATCCACTGGTTCCTACAGAAACTTCCATATATCACAGCCTCGTTTGAATAGATTAGTAGCATCCCGTCCAAACGAACAGTGAAAGCAGTGTTACATCTGAGTGGCACTGAGGTTATCAAACATTGACAAGGCATAAATAACCCTCCAGAAAAGGTACACGTTTCCCTTCAAAGCGCTTCAGGTTTTATGGACCTGAGTGTTCTAACGACCAATCAGCAACTCCTCAACTCATGCTGAAGGGTCACAAGGATAAAAGGTAAATCTCATCTTTTGTGCCTAATAAGTTGAAACCCAGGCTGCATTTTGAGCATTGATTGTATCAAAACTGACTATTATTATTATTATTATTTTCGAACTCACTGGATAGTTGGGTGTTCGCATTTCCCTTTGGTAATTGAAGATTTAAAAAGTCTTGTTTTCAATGATACTAAAGTTTTATTTGGTCTCCAAACGGGAATTATCAAAATTAAGTGTATAGAAATCCGGCACGTTTTAGCCACATTCAATCTTCACAAATCAGGTAAGACTGTAATATGAGGCTTATTCCCTCCGCGCATGGTATGACGTTTCGCCGCCTGTCTCCAAGTTTTTTCACTGATTGCTGCGAGCCTTAAATTGGACATCTGATCTCTTAAAGCCAACTCCTACTATCATATTGACCGAATAAAAACTGTCAAAATTAAAGTACGGCTATCCGTATAAGTCCGCATCACCTTATAGCCTAATATATCCATACGGGAAGCAGCACTTCACCTTTGAATAAAAGCCACCAATTATCACAAGTACTTCGTTATTAAGCAAGTCTAAGCGG